TTTAAATTGATTATGTTATTTATGTTGTACTTAGTAAGACTTGTTTCTATTTGATTCACGTCCACATTTTTTATTTTCTTTTTAATTTTATTTTTAATTCGACCACTTCGAAAAGGGTCTACTGAAAACCAACGCTGTGACTCCGCCGCAGTATTTACTGAGTTGGGCCCTTTTCAGTGCAATACACTTTAAGTTTTTTTATTTATTTTATATCATAATATTGTACTCGTAACATGTGATCGTGCTGAATAAATATATTTTCTTTCTTTCTTCGTGTCTTTCTTTCCTTCTTTCTTTGTTTCTGGGGAAACAGGCATAAGGGCAGTGTTCTTCAGATATTCGTGATTTAAAGCTCCGAGTGACATTATTATCTTTGGTATATCATTGTATTACTTTGTTACAGCCTTTCTTTTCCTCTTCTAATAAGTTTACCTGGACCGAGCCTTCTGGTTTACTCTAGCTAATGCTAGGCTAAACATATGTTGTAAACAAGGCGTCAAAATAACAAAATGTCATTGCGTACGTTTTTAATACTTAATTTTTAGGTAAATAAGTATAACTGCGGCCTCTGTGTTTGATCATAATTAGGACCATCCCATAATAAGGAAACACAGAGAATTACGAACATTTCAATAAGGGTTTATTATCGCCTACTAAACAAAGATGTAAGGAACAAACCTCTCAAATATGGCATCAGGTGATGTCACCTGAGGATGGAAACCTTCCTTTTGATTTAGCCATCGTTCATGACTTGTCATAAAATGCGTTTACGATAGCGTCGATAATTAATATTGGTACTGGTGAAACGAAGTGTGTTGACATTGGTATAGGAATTTAATATTCATGAACCGTCATATTCTTTGGTTCTATGATAAAGTTGTTATGTTTGTAATAGTATATTTTTTATCGAGGAACGAAAATGAGCCTATATATACCCGTGCTTTAGCGGAATCTATTACTCCGATTGTTTATATATTGGTTTTTAGTCTTGATTTTTTTTTCAATCGTTTATGCTCTACAACATATCACGAGCCAAAATTCTAAAATTTTCGTGATATTTCTTTTCCAGACACAGATACAACAAACGCAACACAACGCCACGATTAGCGGTCTTTGGCAACAGTTCTTCAGCTTTGCCTGTCCATAACAGTTGCAGTGCCACTCAGAGCTTTAAATCACAAAGATCTGAGGATAACTGACATAAGTCGACGAGGCTCATGTGCCTGTAATTTCACCAGCACCCTTACCCTTCTAAACCGGAATAATAATAAATAATAATAACGCACACACTCAACATAGCCCCGCACTAGGGAAAACCCTGTGTCGCGGGTGCCATGGACACACACATAGACAACCACAAACTACACCCAAACTCACGAGAGAAATAATTGTAAGTCATACAACTATTTCCCCCGGCCGGAATGCAGTAATGGTGGCACTTTTTTTTATTTACTGCTTTGCGTCAGAGATAGGTAAGGTGGCAGTACTTCCCTGGACGAACTCTTACACAAAGAGCTCTACTGCTACTTCTATATACTACTGTTCTTCTATATACAGGTTTCATCACGACATTTCTCTTGACCGTTAGCCAGAGGTATTGTTATTAAACATTTACAAGTGTACACGCCACCATTTCCGAGTCGGTAATAGGGCAATAAAGTTTAGTATATAAATTGAGTCTCTCAAAAAACAAGCAGTAAAGGTAATGTCGTATAATCCTTCTGTTCCTCGAATAGCAACCGTCTATCATTTTCCAATATATTCTGAACCTTAAATAGAGTAATTTTACGACTTATTTACATGATTCAATCAAATTCTGCGTAGCTCTTTACATGCCTATAAAATTTGTTATTCATTTCCCTGTTCACATATGATTCAAATGCAGCGTACCTATGTCAACTTGGTTGTATAATTTTCGTAAGCATTGATGTTTACAAAATGATATTGTTGTAGATGAGAACAATAGTGTTGTATGCAAAATATGCATGAAATTGTTTTCCAAGGCGTGTGCGAATGTTTACAAATTGTTTTAGTTATTATAACAATTATAGATCAGAGTCTTACGTGTTGTTTGTGCAAAATTTGTTTGCTCATATTCATATTCATGCATAGTTACTGATTTTGTGCATAGTTTCCTTAGATCTAGAATACATTTAAATTGTCTCGTAGCGCAACACCCCGCTGGGGCGTCGCAAGATAGGAGCGAGCTCATCCAATAGTCAATTAACACATTTCATGTTTACGGCATATATTAATAAGAAGAAACATTACAATTTCATGCTTAAGTCAAAAATAATGATAATAGTACCTACAAATTATATAGGCATTCATCATCTTATTCAAGAGCCAGACTCTTGTCGGTGTAGCCCTCTACACTCCTCACGGTTCATAGCCAGTTCTTTGACCTCTCTGTAGCTGTTCACTTTGATCTTCTTTTTTATTTGTTCACTATATGGCATTCTTGGTCTTCTTCTCTTTCTTTTCCCTTCTATTCTCCCCTTAATTATCACTCTCACAAGTTCGGCAACAACTGTCCAAAAATTTCCTTTCTCCTCTCCATTGCATTCAAAAGACGTCGGTCCTCTCAAACCCTTTCCAAAACTTCCTCATTTGATGTCTTTTCAATCCATTTTATTTTTTCCATTCGCCTCCAGCACCACATTTCAAATGACTCCAATCTCTTCCTCTCTCTCTCTAGCTATTACATGTAAACAATATTAATATAATACAAAATATTAATTTGATGTCAATAAATACATTAATAGTATAACATTAATTTTTGAAAATTATTTAAGTGTTTGTGGATTATTATCAATTTTAATTGGTTTATACGCGATTATTTCGTTTTATGGTTGTTTTGGGGGAACATAGTTCGAAATATCTGAGTACGAATTTGCAACACACCAAAACATAATTGAAGTAAGTGTTAGAATTTTATTTCTTATGACGTACGGTTTACAGTTTACAGTCCTTTAAGTCGCAAGCATGGACAGAGAATTTCAAAAGGCATTACTATGTTTCCTCAGCTCGTTAAACACTTCTTTCGAAGGGTCAAACTTAAGTATGACACTAGAGTGAATGGTGTAGAAGTTAGAGCATCGCGTATGTGCGGTGTCAGTTTTAAAGACAAAATGTCGAACAATGGAGTAAGAGAGCGTGGTATTGTTAAAGATGATATAGTGACCAAGATAGAAAAGAAAATGCTTCTGTAGTTTCGTCATGTAGAAAGGATGAACATTAGCAGATTAATGGCACAAATTTATATAGTGAATAGAGGTATAAATACCTTTTAAACACCGTTTTTTAAATTATACTAAGTGACAGAACGAAATCGTGCGCCTATTGTTACGCCACATGTCTGGTCAATGCAGTTGCAGTCCAGTCTGAGCTTTAAATCGTAAAGATCTGAGGACACTGCCCCGGCGTCCGTCACCCTGAGACATAAGTTGACAAGTCCCGTGTGTCTGTAATTTCACTAGCATCCGTACCCTTCAAAACCGGAAAGTAATAATGTTCATATTACTGCTTGGCGGCAGGTCCTAGGACAAACTCTATCATAAGAAGATCTACTGCTACAGTAAATATCAATCAGATTGGGGATGTCTTTAAAAAAGGCCAAGTTAAGCGTATCAAAGATAAACGGGCATCGAGAAGACGGAATTCTTTATATTTTAAGCTGTTGAATTTCTTAAATAAATGAAAAAAGCCTGCTCTAGGGAGACAGTCATGTATACGATTACAAGAGTTTTTATGGGTGCTCTTGTTTATTAACTCTAAACTTCTTATTCTCCTTTGGAAATGGGTACATTTTTCAGGGTCGTATTCTAGAACTCTACTCAATGCTCAAGTCAGGATTTGAGTATGGTTTAAAGCACTCAAAATCATACTCAAGTCCCTGCCATTAGTTTCCAGTGCAATCCTGACTTGAGCATTGAGTAGAGTTCTAGAATACGACCCTTATTTTCGTTTACATTTAAGCCTCCGTAGCATGGCTACGCATGATAGTGAAAAGCGCGCGCTTTTTTCAATTTTATCTCGCGCGTCGCGGCTGCCATGCGTAGCCATGCTACGGGGGCTGATGAATGTTAGCATGAGACGTTGCAAAAATTGTAACGGGATTTTTTAATAGTCATCACAAGAAAGACAGTTTGTTTTAATGATAGAAATGCCGTAAGAGGTTACGGTTTAATAATTCAGTTACTCACCGTAAAATGGTTGACAGAAAATAAGTAGTTTCACTGTGTGACAAATTAACTAGTAGTAGAGTTCCTTGTGACAGAGGTTGTTCAGGGAAATGCTGCCACCTTACCTATTTCTGCCGCCAAGCAGCAATATGAGCATTCCCCTCGGATCTTTGTGGTTTAAGCTTTGAGTGGTACAGTAACTGTTATGGACAGGTATATCGCTTACCACCAGGCGCACGGCTCCCGTCCCGTCATTATTAAAAATACGTAGTATACGTAGACGTATTGCAAGCATATTATTCATTTAATAATGGCCCCTGAACTGGGTACAACTTATTTTGTCATCGTCATCCACCCAGTCAGAATACAATTTGGGAATCTGATGCGGGTTGGGGACTATATACGTTTTCCTAGAGCTGTGAACCTTTTTCGACATGTAAATAACGCACACATTCAACATAGTACTAGGGATGTCTCGCGGGTGCCATGGACACACACATAGACAACAACAAATTACACCCAAACTCACGACAGAGATAAATGTAGGTCAAACAAACATTTCCTATATTATTTTTTATTATTATTAGATATTTAGTGTAGATGTCTGGCACATTATTGTTTATATTATTCAATAACAGGTATAAAGGACATACATGCAGCAGCGAAAATTCTAGAACTACGGCTAAATAACTCGGATAACCTTGAACCTCCACCGTAGGGGCCCAAATTGTTGACAAGTATTCTTCATTTGTTTCATAATTTATATATTTCTTTTCTATCTCTAAAATAACATGTATTCTATTCATTTTGTTCCAGGTGGGCAAGGAAGTAGCACATCCTGGTGTAGCCAACGAATATGATGGGTCACAGGAGAAGAAGTATTATACCTATTACCAGTGGGTGTGTTTTGCACTCTTCTTTCAGGTTAGTTGTTTCTGTACGTAAGATGAGCCTCGTTAACGAATACGATATGCCTTAAATCATAATTGGTAAAGGCGAAACTGCAGATCCTTGAATACCGTTATAAAGTGGCCAACTTACCTATATTCTTTAGGATATGGTCACGGAGAGTGTGCGAATGAATTGTATGTAATCTTTCTGCTATCCCTCTTCCGTCATCACGTGACTTGACGTAGGCTGGGGTTCCACCCCTATGTTGTAGATGTACCTAAAAGCTGAGTCAGCGGCCAGCGCCCTGTGCTATGAAAATAATTTTTCTTTTGTATTTATTAATCTATAATTGTGTCATATTCATCTAGACGACCTCGGTTTGAATTGTGGGCGCCGGATACTCTTGGGTAAATTTCCGAAAATATAATTTTCAAGACTCATATTATGTTCTACGTTAGAAATATCTTTTGTAATTTTATTTAGCGTGAATTTTAAAATAAACTTGCATAGACAAAGCTACCTAAAGAAAAACGAGGTGATTTCACAACAGCGAAAAAACACCTTTAAAATGGCTCCATCGTTTTCGTTCAGAACTGAAAAATATGATGCGCTGGAAGGAAGGACTGACTTGGAAAATGAACTTTCGTGAATTGGACTTTTCTTGTCTGGGTGTTCTGGGTACTGTCTCGGAATTCCGTAGTTCTGGTACTCATAGTACAGGGAATTCCCTGGATAACTGCCTCCGTGGCCGAACGGTTACCGGACTGCCACGCAGAGGTCCCAGGTTCGATTCTCGGACCGAAACAAATATTTGTATGGCCTACATTTATTTCTCTCATGAGTTTGGGTGTAATTTGCGGTTGTCTATGTGTGTGTCCATGGTACCCGCGACACAGGGTTTCCCTAGTGCGGGGCTATGTTGAGTGTGTGCATTATTATTCCCTTGTTTGAGACCATGTAATAGGTGTAGTAGTCAGGCATCTTAATACATTACTATTAGTGAATAGTAATAATGTTCCTGACAGCTACAATATTATTAGTGAATAAAAATGTAATAAATCAGCCTTCTAGGGCACTCCCTAGAAGACCACTACCTTAGATAGTAAACTTCAATGGTTTCCACATAACTGCCTCATTGAATTTCATTCCAAAAATGATGTTTTACTATGGCACATACAGATATAAGCCACGTTATTTTCTATTATAATGATTACCGTAAACGTAGAAATCTAGCAATTAGAAGAAACAATCATTACTTTGAAATTCAAATGTATCTTCCACTTAGTCACGATTCTCAGAATGCTAATTACGGATTGTAATTTACGGAAGTAGTAAATGGTTTTTAATACAGCGTTTATTTTCGGCATTTTCAATTCGTACTACTAGTAATAATGTAACTTTAACATTATTGTAAATGCCACTAACTATTGGATATGGTTACATCTATAGATATAGAAAAAAAGGGGAGATATGTAATGACCATTTTTTTTTGAAGTGGCGAGGTGAATGTTCCGATATCACGACGGAAGTTGCAGCTGTCGGTTTGAAGCATTTACTATTTGAACCAGTTGCCGCTGCCGCTGTACCCGTGACTCTGAGACATAAGTTGACACTGTGTGAGCATGTCGCGTGCGCACCAACCTGCTGCACAATGCGCCCCTCATTACAGCGCTGCGTGCACACAACGCGGTGTCATACGATACCGATTTGTTCAATTGTTCTCTGAATGAATTCACACAGGCTGCATATTTGTAAAATTTCATATAGTGGTACATATTAATAGAGTATGTTTATTGTTGACATGTTTGAAACCAGTTAGGTAATTACACTATGGTATTAGGTAATCATAATTTGTTGCTTTACTATCGAATTAGGTTAAACCTGTCATGATAGTTTAAGTGTTTTTAAAAATAAATAAATAAAATAATAGTCCCATGTGCCTGTAATTTCACCAGCAGCCATACCTTTCAGAACCGGAACACAGTAATACTGACATTACTGCTAGGCGGCAGTAATAGGTAAGGTGGCAGTACCACCTTGGACGAACTCTTCGATTAATATGAGTTAAAAGATAACGTCATGTTAATTTGTTTAAATTAAAAAAAAAACATTGTCCATCACAAAGCCCCACGTTTATGTTGCGTAATCTGCGTACGCGCATACGACCAAAGGTAGTCAATTACCACATTAAGTATGTATTATGTACAATAATGTGTATGTAGTGGTTTCCCTTGACCTTGATTCGTACTCGTTTATTTCTCTGCATAAACGTAGTGTATTACTAATTTTAACATTATTGCTTGCGGTTTCTTTTTAGGTCTATTCTAAACTTCGTAATTTGTTTCTTACAAGCGTAACTTTGAAAAAATAGCTGAACTCCTTTAGAATGAGTTCGTCCAGGGAAGTACTGCTGCCTTACTTATTTCTGTACTATGCTAGTCAGTAATTTTCAGGTAAGTTTTTTGTACTCTATTTTGGGGACGATTTTTATTATTTAATTACTCGAATATATCATCGTGAAGTATTAAAGAATATTTCAGGTTACCACACTCGAATATTAAATAATACTTCATGATGATATTCTATAAATATTTAAATAAAAACAAATTGTCATCAAAGTTGAGTACAAAAAACTTACCCGAAAATTACCCAAATTATTGCGTTCCGATTTTGAAGGGTAACAGTGCTAGTGTGTAGTGTAGTGTGTGTAATACCTGTAGGTACACGGGACTTGTCAACTTATGTCTCAAGATGACGGGAGCAGTGGCAGTGCTCCTCAGATCTTTGTCATTTTCTCAGATCTCCTCTTTCTCAGAGCTCCTCAGATCTTTGTCATTCAAAGCTTTGAGTGGCACTGTACCTGTCATGGACAGGCGTGTTATTTACCACCAAGTCCCGTCCCGCCACTGGGTACTATAAAAGAAACCTCGTCAATGGCAAATTTTGGATAACAATCGAAATCTTTTTATAGAAGCGTGGCAACGTAAAACGTGTTTTGAAAAATCTGCGCAAAATTATTATGACTTCTAATACAGATCAATGAATCAGAGTAATCTGTAGTGAATGAATCAGGGGGTCATCGTCCGACATCCGTCCGAAACAATTACTGTCAAATAAGTAATATTCGACAAAATTAAAAGACAAGTATCAAGAATGACGCTTCATTCGCATCATGCGTCTTTTCATTTGGTCAAGTATTGCTTATTTGGCAGCATTGACTTACAAATAAATGGACGACGGGTCTAATACAAAAACCACGAAAAAAATGTCCCAAGTCAACCTATTCGAAATTTAAATTGTATGTCATCGCAGTATCGCGCTGTCAGTAGAACAAATGAAGACTAAAGCGGAGTGTCGCGCTCTGTATACGATTTTAGCGCCTTACAAGTGCGGACACTTTTTAGCGCGGACCCGACGTCCATATAATTGTAAGTCAATGTTTGGCAGTAATTATTTCGGACGGATATCGAGAGTAGACCCCCAGCACAGAGTACTAAAAAAACCGAACAAAAGTTCGTGCAATTACATCTATTTGCCAAGTTTTATTGAAGACAGTTACCGGTAAGTGCACGTAAATGGATTCATCCCCTGGTTTGCCACCCTTAGAGGTGGAATATTTTCTGCAAATTTAAATGGGACCACTACTGAGGTACCCTCTTTCCAATAAAGAAAAGAATCTTCCAAATCGGTTCACAAAGCCGGAGTTATCGCATAACATACATAAAAAAAAAACAGACGCACACACTCAACACACTCAACATAGCCGCACTAGGGAAACCCTGTGTCACGGGTGCTATGGACACACTCATGGACAACCACAAATTACACCCAAACTCACGAGAGAAATAAATGTAGGCCATACACATATTTCTCCCGGCCTGGGAATCGAATCCAAGGCCTCAGCATGGCAGTCAGAGGCAGTAACTGAGAATTGAGACGAATTGAGAACCGCCTCGTTTTTTGAAGTCGGTTAAATACACAACATCCTTATTGTTACTACGAAAATAGAAATGTATATTTTTGTGACATTAAAAGGCCAAGTACCGTACTGAACGTCTGGGTCATTGCTTCTGTTTATTTGATAGTCGTGATGATCACGTTAACAGCTGTACCAAGGTTGGAATGCGAACAATCTGTTCATTCATGATTTCGACAACAGAAGGGTGAATGAGAAACAAAGTATTTATTGTATTAGCTCTGAATATAGCGATTGATTAGGGTCAGTTTTTGGGATTCTTTAATCTAAATCTCTGGCCGCTAGATGAGATCCCCGGTTCCATTCCCGTTAAGATCGGCGACTTTTAGCAGCGATACAAACGCGATGCAAACGCGATACAAACGTGATACAAACGCGCTGCACGTTTTAAATTAATTAAATAATTTATTTATGTAAAGCATTTATTAATTTCACTTTTAAACTTACAATTAACAGAATTAAATAATGTGCATAAACCTATATAGATTTTTTCATTCAAAATAAGAGACTGTATCGATGCAGTCGCACGTTTGCATCGATACAGTCAAGCAAGTCATCAAGCTACATCTAATATTAATTAAAAATAGTTTTATTTCCAATGTATGACAAACGCGAATACTTATAAACTTGATATGTATATCATACAATTTGGGACTATAAGTATAATTTGGGTCTATTCAAGGCTAACGAGTGAATAGGCATTTTTTATAACGCGTATCATCTTCAGTCATATCGCTAAATCATCAGCTTACACGCATCCACTGCTGGACATAAGCCTTACCCGAGCCAACTCCCCCGGTCTTGTGCCGCCCGCATCCAGCCGCTGCCAGCCATGTTTCTCAGGTCATCCGTCCATCTTGCTGCAGGGCGTATTACACAACCTTGACATGGTCGCCATTCTAGAACAAGTCTGTTCCATCGGCGATCGACCCTCCTGCAGATATGCCCGGCCCATTGCCACTTAAGCTAATAAGCTTACTGATTTTGCGAGATATGTCGATCACTTTAGTTCTCTGACGTATAACTTCATTAGTCATTATTCACATCGAATGATATTATGGTGTCTCTATTTTATCATTATCATCTTATTTAAGTACCAAGCTCTTGTCGGTGTACCCTCCACCATTCTCACGGCTCATAGTTCGCTCCTTCACCTCTTTGTAGCTGCCCACTTTGACTTCCTTTATATTTTCATTGTACGCCATTCTTGGTTTCTATTCGTTAAGAAATTTTATTACATGTCATCACGCGTGTATCTCGCCAGGCACCTGCTACGCTCCTGACTAATCTCCTACGCCTCCTCCACTTCCAGCAGTTTCATACATGCCAATTTATTCTTGGTACAGCCTGGCCTTTTTAAGGACATCCTCAATCTGATCGAGATATTTACGCCGTGGTCTGCCTTTTCCGATGCCTCCATCCACATTCGCTCTATAAATTCGTGCCGTCAATCTACTACCATTCATTATTTCTACAAGACCAAACCATCGAAGCATCCCCCTCTCCATCCTGGCCACTACATCGCCTTTCATACAACAACGCTCCCTTACTACACTGTTCGTCATTCTATTTAAGACTAATACCGCTTATAAAACTTCATTACCACAATTAAATTGAAACAATATTAAAGCAGAAGGTTAATTGGTAACGGTTTTTTAAAGAAAATAACAAATCGGAAACTCGGGAAGTTCAATTATGTTTATAATTACAAAATAAAAGTCGTAAACGATTATTAAATGCTGCAACACCTGACCAATATCGGCGCACACGCATAACGGTAGTTAAGCAGCCGTGTTGTCTCAGCGTTGTGACCTAGTAACAGGATGTCTACTGTAACCAAAATTATACCCGTTATGGGCAAAGTCCACAGCGTGTACAGAGTCTCTGGTCAAGGCCCGGAAAGACTGATTATTGGCGAGCTTTTCCGGTTTATAATAGACAGCAGTTGCACAAGTTCAAGTAGCGTTGCGTTATGTCTAATAAAAATAAATATCATTTATTAAAATACAAAGTACGAGTCCCGTCTATTCATGCTATGGGAACAAATTTGGTTTATTCTCTATTGTTTTAAGTGCGTTATGGTGTAACTTATTTATAACCTTTTTATTAAAAAAACTGACCTCAAAAGTTTGCTTATCGTATTTTTTATTGGAATTACACTTATTTGCCAAGTTTTATTGAAACCCGTTATCGGAAAGTCAGAAAGAAGAAAAACTGGATTCATACCCTAGTTTGCCACTTTTAGAGGTGGAAGATTTTTTTCAAATTTAAATGGTATCAATACTGAAGTTCAACTAAATAAAGAATCATCAAAATCGGTTCAAATACAGAGAATCCTCCTTTCTTTAAATCGGTTTTAAAATAATGAAAATAAAATTATTGAACTCGATATTTATTTGCCCAAATGGATATAAATTGCAAATCTACCTTTTTCCTTTTTTGTGTAAAACAGACGCATGCTTTGCCAAGAAAGGTGCATGGAGTGCACGAAAAGAATCTCCCTATAGGATTTTACTATTCGGACGTTACGTTTATATTCTCCTAATCCTCAAATCCTTTCACCACGATGGTAAACGTGTCTCATATCCCTGGGCTGCAAGACTATGACCGTCGATACGATAGGAAGAAGACGTTTGACCACAATTTCATCAAAGTCAGAGTCAAAGTCAAATAATTATTAATTCCATAGGTAAATATTTTTACACTTGAAAACGTCACTTTTAAGCTACTGCTCGTTCACTACTCTGGTCTCCCTGAGAAGAACAAGCAAGAAACTCCAGGGATTGCTCTTTTAAAATAAACTTAAACGCTATAGAATACATTTTGAATCATATTTGTGTGGAATCTAGACTCACGTTGTCTTTCCATAGATCTTTATCTAACACGTAGTCTACAATTTTGTAATATGACTTTTCACTTAAAATACTTTACATCTGATCTGAAATGCCGATTCAATCTAGCCTTGAATAGCCCCAAATTATAGCAATAGAGCTCCTTGTGAAAGAGTTCGTTCAGGGAAGTACTGCTACCTTACCTATTTATGCTGCCAAGCAGTAATGTGCGCATTACTGCGTTCCGGCTTCGAAAGGGTAAGCTGATGGAATTACAGGCACATGGGACTTGTCAACGTATGTCGCAGGGTATCGGTCGCAGTGGCAGTGCCTCTTAGATCTTTGCGATTTAAAGCTTTGAGTGGCACTGCAACTGTTATGGATAGGCGTGTAGCTTACCACCATGCGCACGATTAGTTCGCCCCGTCACTAAGTATTATAAAAAATAAAAACACACATGTCAAGGAAGCCAAGTGCTTCATGCGAATGGATGGTATATCAACGACATAAGGGTGGACTGTTCCGAGCTTTCTTTTCGACCGAATTAGGAACGGTCTGGGTGAAATTAAATTAAAAACTTCCTGCGCACACTCTCCGAAATTTCGTCTCCTGCAATATCATTTCACACCTTTTCAAAGTCGGTTAAAAACCTCACATGTTTATACGTCAACAGTACTTTTATCATAATATGAAAGTCATAAAAATAATACGAAAGTTTTATAAATTTAACATTTAAGCGCAAAAAAGCTTTGGACTTATTTCGATCGTAGACTCTTAAAGCTCTCTCCTCAAAACTTGTCATTTTGCAGATGTGGCCTTATTATACTAAGAGTGCTATTTGTCATTTCACATAATTGGTTGGCGTTACCCTTATACGGATCTGAGACGTGATCAGTCACTATGGGCTCCATAAAAACGCTCAAAGTCACTCAATGAGCTGTGGGGCGAGCAATGCTCAGCTTTTCTCTACGTGATCGAATCAGAAATGGGGAGATCCGTAGAAAAACGAAGGTCACCAACACAGCTCAAAGGGTTAGCAAGTTGAAGTAGCAGTAGGCAGAGCACGTAGCTCGTAGAACTGACGGCCGTTGGGACAGAATGGTTCTCGAATGGAGACCACGAATCGGAAGGCGTTCAGTGGGACGGCCCCTTACTAGATGGACGGATGACCTGGTAAGGGCGGCAGGTAACCGATGGATGCACGTCTCGTCCGGCCGGTTAGTTTGGCAATCTTTGCGGGAAGCCTATGTTCAGCAGCGGACGTTTTCCGGCTGATATGATGATTATGACGACCTTTGTTGTATAAATAAAAAATTTACCTCCTCAGGCATTAATGTGCTACACACCCAAGTTCCTATGGGATGCGTTCGAAGGCGGACTGATGCGCACCATAGTCATGGGGCTCAACATCGGCGTCTGCCATCAAGAAGAAAAAGAGAAGAAAAAAGACGTCCTCATTTGGTACCTGCTTAGACATGAGAGGGTGAGTTCTAACTACAATTTTGTTCTTTGAACAACTTGCTTTCGTAATTGTCTATCAAAAGCTGTTTGACTCTGAACCAAAATGGATTACAATTTCCCTATCTCACTAAAAAGTGTCCATAAAGATCTAAATTCTTGACGTATTTCTTAATGTTGCCGTTTCAAACTTATGAATCTTAATTACTTAGTTCCATATTCTCGACTCTCTGAAAAAATATAACTGAGAATTAATTTACACATCACGATTTCGATGCGTCTGCAATCACACAACAATTCCTATTAGCACGAGGTTGAATTTGTAGAAAACCACAGGAGAACGTAATGAAAGCATTATTATTCTGTACTTACTGGACTGGTCTGGGAATCATGCGCTTGCGCGTGCGCCGCGTTGGTAATAGCGAGTTCAACGCTTCTGGAACATTCGACGCGTGTGCATTCAATGCGGACATGGTGCCATTAATTTAAATGTTTAGGTAGATAAATTTAGATCGCAATATTTTGGGGAATTCAATTTGATTTTTTTATTGGTAATTGGTTAGTCTCGCAAACACGTTTTAACGCATGAATCCGAAGCAAAAGGTCAAATTTAAAGTTCGCGGTTCTTTTTAACAACTTTTAGAACCTAATTTTGTATGTTTGTAGTTATTAACTACGTACACGTTCCTTACCATATGCCACGATTTCTTTTTTCTTTTCAAATTATAATAGCTGTTTCCATTCCTGATCACGAGCTGATTGAAGAGGAGAAATAAATCATATCGATGCAAGAAACCTGTAACCAGTGTTAACGCCAATTTTAGATTTAAAATCTTGATAAATTACAATATGTGTTACTAGTCTAGGACAACTTGTACCAACCTCGTCAACAGGTCCTCTCAGCAGATGAGATTGAATGGATATTTTATACTGTTTTCTCTTTTTTGAGTATATGGACTTATTCATGATCACTACTTAGCCCTGGAACAAAGACAGGGTTTACGATGCACCGAGCTCGAACAGCAGATGCCTATCCAGTCGCACCTTAAAGATAACCGCATTGTATGTGCTCAGAAACACAGTCACAGGCATTGAATTCCATTCCAAGGCTGTACGCATAATAAAAGTTCTAAAGAAAGCTCTTGTCGAAAGGCAGAGCTTTTCGTCAACTTTTGTTAAGGTAATATCGACCAAATAGGGATGACATCTCGCCGTACGCTTTTTTTATACATAATAATATCAAGTGACGGGACGAACAAGTCGTGCACCTGATGGTAAGCTACACGCCTGTCCATAACACTTACAGTGCCAGCACTTACAGTCTTTACTAAATAGTTGACCAATTTTATGGTCATTGAATTGGGTCACAAACTTATTCAAAATGTAGTTCAATGTCAAATATTAAACACTTTTGCACCAAGCAATCAGGGAAATGAACTTCCTGTTAAATTCGGAAAACTAACTATAAGTAAACTCGATATTAAAAGTCATTGCGTATGCTCGCAAAAAGCAACTAAGTAATTAAATTACTTAAAACACTTGATGTATATCTTAACTAACGAGTTGGTCAACATGTCCAAAAAAAACAACACTTTTCTACGCAAAATGGCACATTATTTTATGTTGAAAGATTATGATAATCATTAAAAATAGTGGGAATGGCTCATTAACCGGGCTTGTAGCAACAGCAACTATCCATCATGTCAGCGTGTTTACCTTAATTTAACACTATCTAGCCTTTGCATGGTACAAGATGTGTTGCAGTGATATTGTCATTTTCTGTTGCTTCCTTATCTTTTTTTTTTATTAATATGTTTCTCGATAAAGGTGTATTTCAAACGCGCTGTATCTCTGATTTAAATCTTCTCTTTTTGAACTTAGTAATAAAATTGCCCTAAAAAAGTTACATTACCGTAACTTATGACCTCCATATATGAAAACCAAAATCGACCAGCTGTAGTCAGAACAAAAGAGATCCTATTGAAAAACATCCCTCCCCAACTAAACTCGTGAATGGAGTGACCAGATTTCATGGTCTTACATCAGCCAATACTTTTTATGCCGCTTATACAAATTTGCCTTTCAAAATATTGTGTAAGTCTTAATTTATTTTAAACTAGTCAGTAAAAAATATTCTATAAATAGTATGACGAAATTGTGACTGATTCCGAATAACAGTTTCGTTGAAAAATTTAGTTCATGCCGTTACTTTCGACTAGGTAGTTCACAAATACTTGACTATTCTTGGTTAATCTGAGTACTTTGTCTCATTCCGTACACGTGTTTTACAGTTGGTTTCGTAGTAAAATTACGTCAAGCTAAGGCAGCGTACGTAGTTAATGTTTTATTTTAAAATATAGTACAATTTATAGCAAAGGTGTTCCCCAGGGCTCGTTACTGAGTCCAATGTTACACTTATTTATCGCAACGGGTAGGTTTTCTCGGTGGACGATAAAATTACACCACATTAAACCTGTACTGTTTAAATCTGGACCGTAGCGATAATAATCGAGAGATCGTGACATTCGATCAAAAGCGACAGGCATTTTTTTGTTGTCGGTCATTGGCCATACCTCCTAAGCGTTCAATGCTCGGTTGCGCAACACCATCGTTCGTTGCTCGCTGGCTACAAATAATAATCGCCTGCCGTCATATTTACATGGTAATGTATGTGATACCTTTTTTGCGCAGGTCGAGCTCGCCAGAGTTACTTTTCCGGTTTGGAAAGTATCAAAAGCACTCGTGATCGTTCCACAGTTGCGTTGGATTGTATAAGGGCTTTCCCGGCTATCTATCGATTTGTTTATAACGTTTTAGAACAACAGGTGACTGATGTTGCTATCGCTTCCTCCATGCGTGGAAAATGTTAGTGCGAAAGGAACGGGTTGATAAAGTCACAACCCTTAGCCATTAGTCATAAGTATGACGGGAATTCTTTGAATTACGTTTTGATCGAAATCTCACAGTATATTGATGACGTTAAAAGGTTTTACGTTCGTATCGAAAAGCCTTTTTGAATTTTTTTCGTGTTAATATTTTCTCACGCTTAGTCGTGTTTTTGTATTTCCAAATTCTTAAAGTTCTCACGCGTTATTTGTAATTGATTTATCCTCAATTGCCTAATTACCTTTTGTTGATTATGTTCAATTGACACAATATTGTTATATTTATGTTGTACTAGTTCTTAGTATGGACAGAAAATTACATGTTAAAGTTAAAATGTATTTTTCGGTTTAGTCTTACATTTAATGATGTTTATAACTTGTCTGTTTTTATAATGTATCAAACCTGCAACATGTCAAGTGGGCGGTCGTCACAGTTCGTTCACAGTAGCTCCTTTGTTTTTTGCCAGTTTCCTGTCATCTGGCGGATGCCTTCACCTTATTGGGACAGGTGCTCATCTTGATGGCTCTGGACTTTAATAAGCTGGTACAAAATGTTACACACTTCTTTGTTTTAATATTTTGTCATCACCAATACGCGCTACTAAATAATTCACAAATCACAATTGATACACGAAGGGAGCGTGTATTATTCAGTTCATTATTGTGTTGAATCTACATGTACTTCCAGTACAGAGCAAATGTGGAGGAAACGTGGAGAAAGGTCGACCTCGAGTAGACTAAGGATGTTTCAAAAAATGTCAAGTTAAAAGTACCGAAAATAAAAGAGTGGAGGAGGCGATATGCATGTTACGAACGTAGATAGAGAAGGTTCATTGTCCTTACCAATCTTTGGGAGTCAGGTGTGATGTGTGTACTTTATGTGCATTATTGATTAAAATAAGCAAACTTAAAACAAAGTAACAGTCAAACCACTTACAGAAATATTAAATAACAATGTGTAGCGACAAATAGACCAGAACATATAGGCGACGGCTTTAAGCACGCTTTGACCGACATGTATTGTTGAGATTTGATAATACGAGACTGGCGTTCATTCAATATTTTCTTCACGGAGACTTGTCGTGTTCTTTTTATTTCATTCTTGACAAATTCTGTAACAAACCATGTAATATACACATTGTGACTCCTACAGGGAGAGGTTTTAGGGCCAATTTTGTTAACTTGATACACGTTTACAATTCACCCTTTTTTCTTGATATATGGGAAGATTTTTTTTAGTGTTTTCGCTTTTTGAAAATGCTATTGTTTATCAAAATTACTCAATCGCAGTAATAGATTGAATTTGGATAGTACAATAATTCAAATGCTGAAATTTTAAACAAAATAGCAAACTATATAGGTGCCAGAACTACTTATATAACAGTGTTCCGTTAGTTAACTTTTTTCACGATCTGTGCGTGTGCTTACTCAAGTGTGGAGAGCTCATTATTTGTTAGACTTATGTGTTTCATTGATGGTGCAATTTTTTTTACCGATTGTTTAGTTCGTTTCTTGTATAGCTTTGTTCAATATTTTGCAAAACTTTTACGACGTTTATCAATTCAATTGCTGTTATTTCTCATCTATTATTAATATGATTCTTAGCAAAGTAAAATTACCTATATTTTACGTAGTTTTACTAAATTGGTAGGTGCAGGTAAATTTTTTTAGTATTGTAACTAGTATTCATTTTTTTATGGTATCTGGGTAAAAGAGTATAACCCCATATAAATTGCAGCTTCAATCAAAGTAATACTTCCATTATTTTAATCGATGCAAGTTTGTCAGTCAGGGACAAGTTTTTGTCGATAACGGTACTGCAGTTGTCACGAACGGTCGACCACTTGAAGTCAATTGATCGTGCGCCCGCGCATGTCGGCCCTTTCATGTCATGTCAAGAGAATTTGTAATTTGTCCGTAATTCGTGCCATCCTGGCCACTTAAATTCCTTCTACAAACAAGAACGGTGGCAGTCACTGATGACATAAACGATAGAGGTTATAAGTGTAAAGTCAAAGCCAGTTTGTCTGTGGCATTGTGGATTAACTGCCTCCGTGCCGGAACAGTTACCATGCTGGACTGCCACGTAGAGGTCCCGGGTTCGATTCCCGGACCGGCAGAAATATTTGTTTGGCCTACA